ACTCTTTAATACAAAAGTCAACTGTAGTTTGAAAGCCAATGTGTATATGTGGATACATTTATCTCCAATTGTCTCTCCCTTGAAAACATTGTCCATGTCCAGCTTGCAGTGAGTTAGAACATTCAGTGCAGAACGTTCTGGTCACTCTTTTACAATTCATCTATGTATGATATTAAGACAGATTTCCTGAACGCAAGATGAATTCATAACTTTGTGTGGTCAGTGTCATTACCAATCACATAGAGTCATTTTGTCACTCAGATTAACCAATTCAGATGGTGACTACCACGTCAATATGTATAAATGCCATAAACATCCTGGTTCAGGTGGAGAGAAGAGTCACTGCAAAGGTCTTCAGACTCATCACCATTATCCTATGAAATATCTTGATGGGAGTGGTCTCTTCCAGGGCATGAGACCTCACTTAATGGTTTGATGAGCATGAAATGAATGTTAATCCTTGCTATATCCTTCTCATCCATTAAATCCCAAATCAGTTGACTACCTATGGGACATTTTGGAGTGACGTATTAGACAGCACTCTCCATCACCATCATCTGAGGGAATATCTTCTGGAGAAATGGCCTTCATTGCTCCAGTACAGTTCCAGAGACATGCAGAATCTATTGCAACGTGCATTGAAGCTGTTCCGGTGGCTCGTGTTCGACTAACACCTTACAATAGACTATTTATTTCGTTCAAAATGACACACTTACATAGACATACTATAACTGAAAAGAATTGAGTGGTTGGTTACGTGCTTATTATCATGTAGCATACTGAAATCTCCAGCATGGCATTGAATCTTTCAGTACTGAATCAAATGAGCACTTTGCAGCTAATTTAATTTTAGAGTTAACTCAAATTTGCCTGCAAATATGCCTCAGCTTCTAGAGGAGTAATTGTATTAAAATGACCTTTTAAAGAGTTAATCCAGGTCTAACATTTAACTTAACTCCGTTGAGTTAAAATCCTTATCCAAATGCTTCAGGGTTTAATCCAGCCAAGAATATGAAAACCTCATTAAGTGCTGTAAAGTCATATTTATTACCAAACTGGCTCGTTCCTATGCCTACAGGAAGTGGTAGAAATGTCACTTTTTTTTGCAGTTTAACCACATTTAAAACCACAAATGGTAAGTGTAATATGTGTAATAGGCTCAGCCCTGACCAGCATATTTCACAGGCAGAGGAAAACAGGACCATGTGTTCCTGCTGGACACTGCTCATATGAATTGATCAGTAAGATTAGAATGGTTTGGGAATTCCTAAAGCCAATTTCCATTATTTGTTTATTTATTGTATGTGATTTTATTTATTAGATTTATTAGATTTATTATATCACACCCACGTTTGGGCCTTCTCCACCCTGTTTCCACAAAGTTGGAAGCACACAATGGTATAGAATGTCTTTGTTTGCTTTAGTATTAAGATTTCTCTTCACTGGAACTAAGAGGCCCAAACCTGTTCCAACATGGCAATGCCGTATCAGTACTGTCTGTTACACCTGTTTGTTTGATTGTTTGTTTCTTTTTTAATCATCGTCTCCTTGTGTTCCTATCATTTGCTCACTGATGATTTTTATCATCATTTTATCATCAAAATCATAATTTTGTACTTCAGCCATTTCTAAGTCTTTCGTTTCACTGGAATATTTTTCTGTTCAAAGTATACTGTGTTTTTTTCCTCGCTTAAATTAAACATGGATGGATTCTGCTATAGATTTTGTCCATTATTCTTTAAAGTACTTATTACACTCATGCTAACTGATCAGCGGCTCCTACTAAACCACTACTGAGATGAGTGGTACTGGTCTTACTTCCTGTAACAAAATTAAGCATGTTCTCATGTCCGTACGTTATTCACAGTCAATTAACCTGATGCCTTTATTTTAACAGAAGCACTGGGATTTCATTATTAACATTTTAGTGGTACAAGATCTCAGATTTCCTGGATTGCTTTCCTGTATGTCTTTAAAGAAATAATCCACTTGTAAACCTTTGTTCACTTTGTGGAATGCAGTTGTGAACTTATTTCTCTGACCTTCTCTGAGGATTGTTAAATTCTGAGACTGTGCTGCACTGGAAATGAGAAAGCGTAAACGGTTATTGATTTCACCTCGTGTTTTTGATCAACTTCAACCTGTTGCGAACTTTGGCCAGATAGGTTCCTCAACAGTTATCATTTACACACACTCTCCTCCATCCACCCTACCATCACCTCCTCTTTCTCCCTCTCTCTCTCTCTCTCTTTCTCTCTCTCATACACACACACACACACACACACACACACACACACACAAGGCTTTGTTTTGTCTTGCGTGCACAGACATTAATCATGTCTTGCATTACACCTCCACAAAGAAAACAAAAGCAACAAATGCACTTTATCTCAGTAAATGATATTGATATGAACTTAATATAGCACTTAATAAAGGTATCTGAAGATGTTCCCTTTCCTACAGTTTATGGGTTATAGAACGTTTAAATACTCAAGACAGTTTACATTAGTGGTGCTCACAGGCTATTTATTGCATTGGAGAGTAATTCATGCCAGCAGTTGAGCGTGACCTTTAATATCCATGCCAGAAACTCAGCACTAGTGAGAAGAGGCCAGATATTTCAGCTAGTCACAGTGGTGCCTTCGTGTCTACTTGTTTGGATATGAGTGTCTGTCTGCCTGCATGTCTGTCTATCTATCTATCTATCTATCTATCTATCTATCTATCTATCTATCTATCTATCTATCTATCATCTATCTCTCTCTCTCTCTCTCTCTCTCTATATATATATATATATATATATATATATATATATATATATATATATATATATATTGATTACTTGATCTATTTATTTGTTTTCTTATTTACTTACTTTATCAATTTACTTCCTTACTTGCCACTTATTTTATTTATATACTTACTTGCTTTATCTATTTATTTATTTAGTTACTTAATCTACTTAGTTACATTATGTATTTATTTCCTTACTTACTTTCTTACTTACTTTATTTATGCACTTATTTATTTACTTTATCCATTTCTTTATTTACTTATTTATTGTATACATTTATTTATTTAAAATCTATTTCCTTCCTTCCTTCCATACTTCCGTACTTCCTTACGTACTTCCATACGTCCATACTTCCTTACGTACTTCCTTCCTTCCTTCCTTCTTTCCTTCTTTATGTACTTCCTTCCTTCCTTCCTTCCTTCCTTACGTACTTGCTTATGTACTTACTTATTTTATCTATTTTTTTAATCTGTCTTAATTTTCAGACAAGAATACCTCAGTATAAACATAATGTATGAGCAAAAAGAAGGACAATTTGAATGACTTTAAAAGAAACCTGCAAGTAGTCATTAATTTAGTATCTACTTTATCCTGGTCAGTGTGGGGGTGGCTCTGGAGCCTATCCCAGGAACACGAGGTGTAAGGAGGGAATACATGCTAGACGGGATGCCAGTCCATCATAAAACCTGCAAATAGAGATGGCACTGATCGGTATTGGGCCAGTACTAGAAAGAAATGGTGGATTGGATATCGGAGAGAACATATCAGATATCAGATCCTGTAGCAAATAGCAAATACTGGAATTGGATTTGGAAAAGAAATGTCTATTTACATATATCTGTTTACATATAAAGTGACTAGACTTGCTTTTACTTTGTTAGGATTGATTTTATTATATTAACACTCTATTATGTTTAAATGTAAGTGTTTTTTTTTTTGTGAAAGAGTTTTACTCTCATAGTTTTTACAGAGAACAATATCAGATGGGTATCGGCTGTATTGGCTGATACTGAAGAGTCCAGTATCAGTATCAGTACTGGAACAGAAAAAGTAATATCAAGCTATCCCTACCTGCAAAAAAATTTTTGTGAAGTCTTAGCAGTGTTAGTCTTAAGCCTGCAATAATTTTGAGCGCATTACTAAGTTTGTTTCATTCTTCTATGTGTTTTGTTTGGATGGCAGTTATAATTTTTTTTTTCACTCATCTTACCTGTGTTCTTACCCCTGCTGTGTGTTCTCCTGCTGATTTCTGGATATGCCATCCACATATTTATATATATAATTACCAAATCTGGGTGTTCTGCCTTACAGATCTAAACACACACACACACACACACATAAAAGTCTCAGTGCTTCTTCAGAAAAATTCTGTGCAGCACTTCGTGCCCCATGCTGGGTGGAGGAAAAAAAAAAAATGCGCTTTTTATTCAAAAAGTGCTGAGGCCCCACATTTCTGCTCCAGGGCCCAGTGTTAATCGGAGTGTTGATGAAATTAATCATAAAACAATATGAAGTGAAATTAAAAAGCCGCATAATTTATTGATTATATACATAGCTATCACGGAAAATTAATGGCTGCACTCATGCTTAATCTAATTTAACACATGGACAAATGTATTTGAATAGATTCTGCTGGTGAAGCTAAACTATCAGTCTGCCACCAACTGGGGTGATGACAAGGGGCAGAGAAGAGCAAATTAACTAATGAAGAAATGAATGATGCCACAGCATGGATTGACGTCCCATCCAGGGTTTTTTCCCGCCACATGCTCAGTGTTCCTGGGATAGACTCTGGATTCACCATGACCCTGACCAGGATAAAGCGGTTAATGAAGACGACTGAATGAATGAATGAATGAATGAAGAGAATGAAGAGAATGAAGTTTTGTCTATCTATCTATCTATCTATTTTGGGATGATCCTAAAACAGCTCTTGACTGTTAAACATTTGTTAACTTTGCAATGTTGTCTTCGATGCATTAACAATTTTAATAATCACATTTATAAATATTTATAACTAGTTAAATGCAAATAGCTCTTCATGGTAGACCTGTGGAAAAAAAAACAAAACAAAAAAAAATCATATTTTTAAGTCTAGTAAATCAGCTCCATTAATGCAGGCTATATAGAGCCGTTATAAATCTGTCTTTGTAACTATTTGTAAATCTTGTCCCTTTACAGTACAGTACAGTAGATATAACTAGGCTCCCTGGAGGACCAGTGGTTAGGCCTTGGGGCTCTCACCTCCATGGCCCGGGTTCCAAACCCAGCCACTGAGGTTGCACAAGACAGTGCACTACCAGTGCCGGTCCCAAGTCTGGATAAAACTGGGGAGGGTTGTGTGAGGAAGGGCATCCAGCGTAAAAACTGTGCCAAATCTAATATATCGGACCAATGATCCACTGTGGCGACCCCTAACAGGAGCAGCCGAAAGAAGAAGAAGAACAACAGTAGATATAAACGAGACATTAAGCACTGACTCCTCTTCATCATTATGACTGACTCCACATAAGTGCTTCTTAATGAGAAAACAGGCCCGGCTAATTATTTGTAGCCATTTAAGATTCATTTATCGTGCGATAATGTATACGCACCAACACTTCCCTTCTGCCTGCTGCATTTTGTCCATACACTCTATCACCAAACCCTACACACACTCCTGCACATATCAACATATACATATGAACACTGGCAGATGGCACTGTAGCTGGCTGAGTAGATGTCAGTGTTGATACGTGGACTGGGTGCTCACTTAACACCGTGTCTTTGTTCGTTCACCTTGAGCCGTGGCTGGAATCCTGCCAGCCTGCTTTCAGCCAATTTGCGTCACACTAACAGTGTGCTGTTTTCTTTAATAGGATTGTCACGATGGCAGCAAGGGCTATCTAAACAGAGTGGCTCTAAATTGCAGGGTAACTCAACTAACACAGCAAACACTCTGGGGACACTTACAAGCCCGGGACACATATTTGTGCGCACCCTCCAGACTACTCAATGAGATGCCCCAATTTCGGTGAACTGAACTCTGAGGATCCAACATGGCTGCAACTGTCTATGGAGATTGCTAAAGTTTGTTTATTTATTTATTTATTTATTTATTTATTTATTTATTTATTTATTTATAAGTAGATAATTTAGTAAGTAAGTAGATAATTATATTTTTTCTATTTTTTTCTATTTAATTACTTACTTCCCTTTTTTTCTTTATCTTCTCACTTAATTATTTCATCTATTTACTTACTTGCTTTATCTAGTTATTTATATTTATTTACTTTTCTTTTTATTTATAGATATTAACTTACTTATATATTAGTTGCTTAATTATCACTTTAGCTATCATTTATTTTTCATTTGTTTGTTTGTTTACTTTATCTCTTTACTTATTTACTGATTTACTCACTTATTTACTTACTTTAATTTTTTATTTAATAGTTTACTGTCTATTTATTTACTCGCATGCTTATCTATGCATCTATCTATTTATATCTATCTATATTCCATATTCCACATTCTATAGTCATCTATAATTATCTATCAACATGCCCACTTTATCTATCTATCTATCTATCTATCTATCTATCTATCTATCTATCTATCTATCTATCTATCTATCTATCCATCACATGCTACAATCTACACATAAATGCAACCAAATAAACAAACGCAAACATATTGCTGCCACTTCAGCAAGATCCTGAGCTCAACTCTGCTTCTCCTTTTTCGCTTTCTCGCTCTCCCTCCCTCTTCCACACACGAACACTTCCAATGGCCTAGAAAACATTCATAACCCAGGGAACAGAATTAAGCAGCAGCACCGAGGTAAATTTAGGACAACTGCAAATCCACAGCACAGTAACACCAATCTGCTTCCCATATCTCAGCGCCCAAAGCTTCACCTTAGCTAAACTCAGAATTTACTCTCAATTATGGAACAGTACAGAAAATTCACTGTGTGAACATTGTACAATATATCTTGCTTATCTTTATATCACTGTACAAGCTGGAGTTTTTTGCAATCTTTTCACAGACTGGTGGATAGTGGAGGAAATGAGGAGGAGAGGCAAGGTCATCGTCTTGGTCCATTTTTAAATAACCTGAAATAAAGTTATCATTAAAATATTAATTATATTTTTTTGCCAATTGTGGAAAACATACTGCGGAATTATACTTAAGTGAATGCATAGATAATGTGACCAAGTACAATTACTCAAGCATTTCCCACTCTTACTTAGCTCTTGACATTTTAATCTATGTTTAGATTTCACAAGTGGTAAAATTGGACTGTTTTTGTGTGCATATGTGGAGCTCTCACATGTTGCTGACATCTTAACTGTGATTGATAGTGTAACAGATGGTCAGTTACTTGGAAAATGGACAGAAGGAAGAATATCCTTGGTGCTTCTTCAAGGCTTGTGCCATTTAAAGCTTCACGCAAGTGCAGAAGAAGAAAAAAAAAAGGTCTTTGGAAGAACTTTGTACATTCGATGCTCATCACCCATGGACTAGCCATACATGTGCTAGATCACTATCTGCCTTATAATAATAAAGGACTTGGGCCACACTGAGCATGGCAGCATGGTTGATTGCAATTTGCTGCTGAAGATCCATCTATATTATGGATCATGATGCTGTATATAGCTAGTGAGTGCTAGTAACCACACACAGACTGAACACTTGTATTCTTGCTTAATTATATTTCTAAGAAAAAAAAAATCAAACTTTTTACTCCTTATATTTTCATTTAGACCTTGCTACAACCCCAAAGGTTTCTTCTGCTCTCATCCAGCCAATGGCTGAATGCTATACATCAATCTTATGGGCACAGCTTAGCATCCAATCATTTCAGTTTAGCATCATCATGCCAATTCATCATCACCCATGACCTTCTCATGCTACATTATTTAGTAAGTGCTATAGCTAGCAGTGTGAGTTTGAAAATGGATAGGCTGTCGGACTGCAGTGTTGAACTTGATAATGAGTGTCCCTGGCCCTACCTCAATAAAATATTTCAATATGATGGAGGATGCAAAGAGTCATATAAAATGTGTCTCCTTTGCCCCCTAGAAGGCATGGACTAAATCTAAATTGAAAATGTATGTTAGTTTCACAAATTTAACATTAATTGGCTATATTTAACTAAGTTAGCTTGTTTTCTTTGCTAATGCCAGGGTGGACTAGCATTGATTTCAGTAGCCAATGTAACTGCTTACTTTATTCATTTATTTATTTATTTACTTACTTACTTACTTACTTACTTACTTGTTTACCTATATACTTTATCTATTTATGTATTTTCTTCTATATATCTTCTATTATCTTCTATTTTCTTCATCTATCTATCTATCTATCTATCTATCTATCTATCTATCTATCTATCTATCTATCTATCTATCTATCTATCTATCTATCTATCTATCTATCTATCTATCTATCTATCTATCTATCTATCTATCTATCTATCTATCTATCTATCTATCTATCTATCTATCTACTTACTCACATTGTTTATTTTCTTATTTCCCTAATAAAATCATCCAGATTTCAACAGTTTTAGATAAGTAATAAAATTTACTTTTCACATGAAAAATGATCTAATTTCATCAGATAAAAACATTTACTTTTTTTACTTGGGTACATTTAAAAGTAGCAACTTTTTACTTTCGGTAGAATGTACCTTGGGCTGGATACTTCCACTTAAGATTTTGACACGCTATCTACACTTTCACTGAAGTATCATTTCTCAGCTCTGTGTCCACGACAACTAGCATGCGCTTGCTTCAGCGCCTCATTTGGTAAATTTGTCTTTACCTTTTGTGCTAACATGTAGGTTAATGTAGGGGTTAGCTTACTCTTCTTCTTTTTGCTTAATAACAAATGAGATGAAACTACCATGTAGTTGTAATACATTATCATTTCTGTAGTGATAGAAATGCACTGATTCACTGGGGCACTGATTCACAGGGGCTGGTGAGGTGGATGCTCCATATCCTGTAATAAACACATTTTTAAAAACAAAGAATAGCGTAGAATTATATATATTGTGGACAAGTTACTATGGTTAAGGAGTAAGTATGTTTTGAATGATTCTTTCTGAGTCACTAAGATGAACGAGTCTGTATCGATCAGTGCCGTGCACTGAGTCATTCCTTTCATTTAGCTCCTGCTGACAGGCTGTGCAATTGTAAAAGGAACAAAAAGGAGCTGTTACTATAGAAACAGTAATATATTAGAAAGAGGATGTTAAAAATTAATTGGTTAATAAACACCTTTTGTCGAATCAGATTCAGGAATTTAACAGCACTGTGGTATAAATGGCTAAAAAGAGTCAAAATACAGAATGTGCATAAAAAATATATATATATATTTAACAGTAGTCCAGGGTTCTGACCGCTACACCACCCTGTCATTAATTATTTTCCTATAACTGCAGACTTCCAGTTTCAGCGTGAAGATTTTGGATTTTGATGAGTATTTGATTCTTCAGCTGGTCGTCTACTTGACACCATCTCTAAGTGCTGGCCCATGGGCATTTGTGAAAAATTATTTTTTTTTCTCCAATTATCTTCAAGTTTTTTTTTTTTTTTTTTGATTTTACTCTATATCCATGGTTTCTGTATTGTCCCAAATCCAGTGGTTTGCAAATCCAAGAGGGCCCTCATCTAGACAAGAGCTATGGAGCAAAAGTAAAAAAAAAAAGATAACTGCATACCCAGGAGTGTTTTATTCCTTACAAGTTGTGCTTCAAGAACTTTTTGTAGTGTCATTATCTATATGCCTTTGTATACCATACCAAGGCATGTTTGCTAGCGGAGATAGACATTACGTTGGTGAAATGCATATATTATGTGCTATAACCCAATAAAGCTCAACTGACATCTGTGATCTTCCTCAACATGAATGTGAATGACTGAATCCTCACCCCAGGCCATTTCTTTGCTGACACACATACATATTAGTGTATATGTTGTGTCAACTCTGGTGAATGATGGAGCATCAGTATGCGTTGCCATGTGCAGTTGGTCAATCTGTCTTTCTCACCGAAATGAATGTTAGCAGCTTTTGATGGATACCAAAACAATCTTACCAATGCTAATTTTAAAGGAAAGGTATTACTTCTGTACCATGGTATACTGTCAAAGCCCTAGTGTTCCACTCGGTCTCATTGCCGTTCTGTACCAAGCATCTTTTCGGGAAAAAAAAACAAAAAAAAACACAAAAACAAAAAACACAGTACTGTAAACTGTACCTTGCCTTGTTTCTGTATCTATTATATGCTTT